GGGGCCTGGAAGCTGCGGGCCCAGAGGAGGCGCTGCCGTTGCCTGGGAGAGATGGTGGCCTCCTTCTGGGTCGTTGCAAATTGGGGGCCAGCCAGGAGGCCCTGGGAATGCGTCAGGCCCACATGGAGCCTCCCGGCGTCCACTGCTATTGTCCCTGCGTGACCTCGACATCAGCCGCGGGATCCTGCGATCTCCAGGCTCCTGCCTGCAGGCCAAGGAGTCTGCTGAAACCACCATGTGCCGGTGACCCCGACTTAATGTCAAAGGTGACATCAACGCCGGGTGTCACGTGTGGGTGCCCAGGGCAGGGCGGCTAGTGTTTCCACCAAAACCCCACCAGTGGTTACGGCTGCTGGGCGGGGTGGGAGGGGGTGGGGCTGCAGAGAATTTTATTCTCTGTGTTTTTCTTTTGCCCTCAGCTTCGCTGCGACGAGCACATACTGCTTTTGCACTCGCACCGAGCCCCTGTGCGATTTTTAAGGCCGTGTGTAAAGATGCAAAGCGTTATGGCATGTTTAAGCGGACAAGAGGCACCTGGAAGACAGGCCGAGGGTGAGGGGTCACCGGTGACTTCTCGCCTACGTTTTCTGAAATGCAGGGAACACTTTTTGCTTTCACATCACAAGATGATTGTTTTTCACAATGAACCGCGTTGCATGGTCTGCCTGTGGACTTAGACAAGGTCAGGGCTCCCTTGCCCACCTGCCCTGGGAGGCCCCTCCCCTCCCCCCAAGCCTGCCCTCCCCCCCACCCTCATGTCTCTTCCCAGCTGCAGAAAAGGCCTGGAGGGCGGGTTCCTCGGGCCCCTGTGTGCCCGGATGGGTCCTGGGCAGTCAGCTGCCTCCCCCGCCCCCCCATGTGGTACACCCACTGGAAGGCCCGGGGCTAGGCCCGCAGTTATTCAGGACACCCTCACCCGCCCCCCCCCCCCGCCCCCCCAGGAACTTGCTGCTCCCCTGTGCCCGAGGGAGGGAGGGACAAGGTTCTGTAATGCTCCTCAGGCTCCCTGGTCTCCACGAGGCCTGACGTGGACTCTGTGTTCATGAGCATTGTCCGGTTGTTTTTGGTTTTTTAAAAAATATTTTATTGATTTTTTACAGAGAGGAAGGGAGAGGGATAGAGAGCTAGAAACATCGATGAGAGAGAAACATCGATCAGCTGCCTCCCCCACCCCCCTACTGGAGATGTGCCTGCAACCAAGGTACATGCCCTTGACCGGAATCGAACCCGGGACCCTTCAGTCCGCAGGCCGACGCTCTATCCACTGAGCCAAACCGGCTACAGCGCATTGTCCAGTTTTAGCAGGACTCCTGCTAAGTCGTCTAGCTGGAATCCTCCACTGGGTTCTTTTTTTAAAAAAAATACATTTTTATTGATTTCAGAGAGGAAAGAAGAGGAAGAGAGATAGAAACAGCAAGGATGAGAGAAAATCATGAATCAGCTGCTTCCTGCATGCCCCCCACTGGGGATCGAGCCCGAAACTCAAGCATGTGCCCTGACCTCCTGATTCATAGGTCAGTGCTCAACCACTGGGCCACGCCGGCAGGGCTCCCCTGGGTTTTCACCTCCCCCCATGCCCAGCTGATGTCGGACCCACCCCGGCCTGCCTTCAGCAAGAACCTGTTGGGTCGGTTGAGGAAAAACTTCCTCACACCCGGTGTTTCCTCTTAATAATCTCCACCACCCCCCACCCCCAACACCCGCCCATCCCAGCGCCTCAGCCGCGTCAATCCCGCCTGCCCACGCTGCCCACGCTGCCCACGCTGCGTTCTACGCTGAGCCGGTTCTACGCTGAGGTCTCTTCCCCGTTGCAATGGTCCTGGGGAAAACTGTTTTTTATGCTTAGTTTAACCACTGCCCAGCTCCAGTTTCTCTTTGACAAAAGTCTCCCTGGCAGGCACTGTTCATGGCACGCCTCTCAGGAAGCACCTGCCACCCCCTTTCCTGAGTAAACCCACGCACTGTCCCCTCCCCTCACCCCCTCCGGCCGCACCCACTGGCTTCTCAGGTAATGACCTTGACCTCAGAGAGGTGGTCAGCAGGTGGCTCCCGGCGGGTTCTCGAGATGCTCTCCTGGAAGCTTCTAGGGTTCTATCCCAGCCCCTGCCCCCTTCCCGTGGTGGGCTCCTCCCTTTACCCCTGACCTCAGGGTCCAGTGCTCCAGGGCCCCGACCTGCCCCTCTTCTCTTCCCACAGTCTCTGCCCAGGGACCCCATCCTACCCCCAATTTAAGGCCCAGCTCTGACGGCATCCCCATGGGCTTCCCGTGGACAAAGGGGAACTCGTGATGGCCTCCCGCCCACACCTGCTCTCCCCTGGCTGTGTCCCGCGAGGACAGGGCCAGTAAAAGCAGACAGAACCGAAACCTGGCAGGATGCGCAGCTGTCCTCTTTCACCCCCAGCTTCCAGCCCACCAATCCTTCCTGTTGGGCCCACTTTAAAAATAAATCCTGACTCTACTGCCTCCCACAACCTCCGCTGCTAACGGGAGACCTGGCCTCCTCGCTCCCCACTGCCCCTGCGGCCGCCACCCACGCAGCCACCCGGCCAGGCCTGGAGAGCGGGTAGGTCGCCTCTCAGCTCTCTCCCAGCGGGGAGGCCGCAGTGCTCACCCGTCCGCATTTTGAACAAGGGCTGTTGTTTGTCTCCAGGAGCCTCCTGGCTGCCGTGTTCCCCGCTGAGCTGGCCTCTACGTGTTGACAGGGGCAGGCCCGCAGCCCGGGCTTGGTGGGGGTTTTATACACAGAGAGGCTTCCCTTTTATTAGAGCATTTATTACACTTTCCCACTTGGCTGCAGATACGGAGGACATTTCCGTAGGATGTACGGGGCGCACATGTGTCCTTTGGCCTCCGGCTCAGCTAGGTGCTGCCTCCTCCCCGAGTCAGGAAAGTCGGGTCCTGTCGCCCAAGCACCGGCTGAGGCTTCCCGGGTGACGTTCCCACCGCGGCCAGCAGGGGTCGCGGTGGGACCGCGCGGCCAGGCCCGCTCGGCGGGGGAGCAGCCGCAGACTCGGGGGCTGACACCCCATGGCTCACAGCTTGAGCCCGCAGCGGGGGCTGACCCGGTTGCTCAGCTCCTCCGTGACAAGCCGTGCCTGAGTGCAGAGCTCAGCGCAGAACTCCAGCCCCGGCTCGCCTCCCCGCAGCCCCTGGGCCCTGCCCGGCTTCACCAGGGGACCCAGGCTGCCCCCACCCTTCAGACATCACGCCTGGTGAATCATTAATTGCCATTGTCCTCTCCCCAGAGTGGGGAGTGGGGAGAGCCGTTCTCAAGGGCGACATTCCTGCATGACTCCGGTTTGGGCTGGTTCAGCGGCCCCTTCACCGCTCTGAAGCCCACCGAAGCGAAATTGGGGAGGGGTGCTTTCTTCCCAGAGAGCAGCCCCCGCCCTGACGGCCGACGCCCCTCCGGTCACAGTCCCCATGGCCTCCGGGGCCAGGCAGGCCGCCCGGGTTGCCTCCACTTCCCTTCCCCTCGCCCTCTGCCTCCTGAGATCACCCTGTTCACGCACCTCCCGGCCTCTTTCCTCCTCTGCCCGCCTCTCTCTTAAGACTCACCTGCCCCAGTCCAACCTTCTCCTCTTTCCATTCGCCGCTTCCGATGGCCAGACCTTCACTCTCCCAAGCACCCCGGCCCCCGCACTGGGGCATCCACCCTCCTCCTCCTCCTCCTCCTCCTCCTCCTCCTCCTCCTCCTGGCACCTGCCCTGCAAGGCAGGCCTCACGTTCACTCCCACTTCCTTTTTTAAAATTTTCCATTGATTTTTAGAGGGAGCGGAAGGGAGGGGGAGAGACGGAGAGAGAAACATTGATGTGAGAGAGGCAGACACATCGATTGGTTGTCTCCTGCACGAGTCCCCACCAGGGCCGGGGATGGAGCCTGCCTACAACTGAGGTACGACGTGCCCTTGACCGGAGTCAAACCCGGGACCCTCAGTCCATGGGCTGATGCTCTATCCCCTGAGGCTGGGGCCACTCGATCAGAGGTGACTGTGGCTGGCTCAGCAAGCAGGAGTGATGAGCCCGAAGTCACACAGCACCGGGGGGCAGTCTGCCTCCGAGCCCGGCGCACGGTCCTCCCTGGCAAGGCTTTGCCCACGCGGTCCTGTCCCCTCTGCACTCGCGTCCCAGATCGCACGGCTCACGCTTGGCCCGAGCACTGCTTTTGCTTTCTAAGAGTGGTATTTGTTTATTCTCTGGATTTCCATCGCAGGCCTCGCCGTGCCAGGCCAGGAGCCGAGGGCGGGGCCTGCGTGCCGGGAGTCCGAGCTGCTCCGGGAGACAGGGCTCTCCTGTGTGTCTGTGTGCGGCTGCATCTTCCCAGGCAGCCAGCGGCCCTCCCCAGGGGCAGCGGCTGCTTCCTGCCTCGCCTGCAGCCCCCCAGGGCGGTGACCTCGGGTCCCTCCCCCGGGAGTTGATCCTGCTATTGCCTCCATCCTGTGTGGGGGCTGGATGGGCCTGGCCCAGGCTGTGGGATGCAGGACAGACGGCTTGGGAAGGGGGCCTGGGAGCGGAGAGCTCGGGGAAGGGGCTGGGATTTGACACTAAGAGCACGTGTCCTTTCCCCAGCACCCACGGCGGACCCCCCCGCATGTACCCTGAGCGGCAGGCCAGGCATTGGCCGAGCCCCCTTCTGGAAGACACAGGCCTCGCCAGGACCCTGAGACGGCTGTTGCCTTCCGTCTGAACATCCCTGCCTTGACTCCCTCCCTCCCTTATCCCATTCTCGCCAGGGAGGTTGCCAGGACAAAAGATGAAAGCCCCACCCCTCCCACCTTAATTAAACAAGCACAGACACCCTTCCTGGCCACCCCCCCTCCCGCCCCCCCAAAGCCCAGCTTCCAGTCTCCAGCCCGGTGGACCCCAACTCAGAGGGTCCACGACCAGCCAAGGCAGACACCTGGGCTGGGTTGCGAGGAGAAAGGGGGGTGGGAGGGGGGAGGCCGAGCCCTGAACCTAAGAAGCCGGGCGAGGCAGATGGCAGGAAGAGCGAGGAGCAGACACAGGAAGAGGAGTCTGTTTAATGACACGGCTGGGTCTGGTTACAAACATCAGAAACTACAAAAGGAGGACAGGCAGTCACACGGATGGCTGGGCGAGATGGGACAGGAGGGGACACGGCACAACAGTCACAGCAGCAGAACATCCTGAGGACGACACACGTGACCAAGGGGCACACTCGGGGGTGTCCCCGCGGCTCTGACCCAGATGGAGGAAGGGGTGGGCGGAAGGTCCCGGCCTCGGAGCTCTGGAGCTCCGGGAGGAGATGGAGGCAGCTGGTCCTGTCCCATCGCCCCTCCTCCCGCCGGGGCTGGGCTGTCTTCGTGACAAAGGCAGATGGGGCTCTACCTCCGCCCCTCCCCCAGCACAGGCGTCCTGTCCTTGAACTGCGGGCCCCCCCCCGCCCCCCCCCCCCGGCCTGCCCTTGACTGTTAGGGAGCAGGGCAGGGAGCCACACACATCCTTTTGTGTGGGGTCAAGGTGGGGAGAGCCAAACCCTCCTTGCAGGAATGTGGGAGCTGGTCCGAGAATGGGCTGCGTCACCCCAGTCCTGCCCACGCAAGCCCTTGGGTCACCCCAACTCCGCCCACAGGCCCCGATCCTCTCTGTGCTGATGCGGGACCCCCATCTCCGCCAGGACACTCCGTCCTCGGCCCAGAAGCATGTGCGGGGCCCCTCCCTGCCCCACGCACAGGGGAGCGGAGCCTAGGCCTCCCGTGGGCGGCTGGGCCCCGCAGGGACACAGTCTAGATGGGAATGTATATATATCTTTATATAGGCTGCATATAGAATATATCGTATATATGGTAGATATGTGTGCGTGATATTCTAGAGGTGACGCGAGACCTGCATGCTGGCCGGGCAGATAGAAACGGGGCTGGCGAAGCCTGCAGCGACTCGCAGACCCCGATTCCTGCCAGCTGCTCAGCTAGGTCTCGGACGGTGAGTAGAAAAGCTAAGAAGAGGGGGCCTGGCTCTTCAAGGAGGAAGGGCCCCCCACCCCACAGGCCACCGGCCGCCACTGGGTCAGCATCCAGTGCCACCTCCCGGCGGCTTCAGGGCGCCGCGGCCCAGGCAGAGGCCTCTCTCCAGGAAGATGAGTCAGGGGTTCCTCCGGCTTCCTTGGCACCCAGCAACGGAGGGTCAAGGAGGGTCTTCAGAACTCGGCCTTCTGCTCAAGGCGCTGCCAGGGAGGGGGGAGGGCAGCAGGGGCCCTACGGCCCCGAGGAGGGAGAAGGCAGCGTGGCCGGCGGGCTGTGGACGAGAGATGGAGCAACAGGTCACAAGGGGCACAGACTGGGAATCGGGGGCGTGAGGCAGGATGCTGAGACCCCGCGAGGCACAGGGGAAAGCAGCCCGGGGGCCCAAGGCCCAGTTCTCCTTCTACCGAGGGGACCTGGGCCCAGGCAAGTCCGTGGAACCGCCTGCACCCCAGGTCTTTTGCTCTACAGGGGGAATGTCTGCCTCGCCTCGCTCCGTGGGGATCGAGGGGCATCAACTGTGGGCACGTGTCTCACCAGCTGCCAAGAGCCACGCACACGTGACTCTCTGCTGTGGATGGAGACGTGTGTGCGCCTGGCCGGCGGGGTCCCCCGCGGACCACCCAAAGGCAGCCTCTGTACACATGGCCCTGTGCACTCGGCACCACGCCCCCCGCCTCCGCACCCACAAACACGCACCCACACCCTTAAGCAGAGACAGCTCAGTAAACAGTGGCGTCTGGCCCACCCCGTCCCTGATAAGAGGAACTGGATGGAGGCCTTCCATGACTGCCTGCCACTCCCTCCCAGCCCCCAGCCCCCAGCTCCCAGCTCGGAACACCGCTGGGGGGCTGGGGAGGTGGGCCTCGGCAGAGGCAGGGGGTGGAGGGGACCATCCCCATGACTGCCCGGCTGGGGAGAGCGGTAACCCAACTGTGAGGTGCCCGGCCTAGGTGGGAGCAGGGCCTGGCCACCCTCCCCAGAAGCTGTCTCCACGGAGACGAAGGGGGCAGATGAGGAGATTCCCTCGGTTTCCTAATTCTTGGGGTTGGGTGAGATGTAAGTCCCCGGGGTCCAGCTGGGGCAAGAAGGGGGCGGGGTAGGGCTTGGTGTCGGGAAGCGTGTCCACATGTTTCTGATTCACCCGGCTGGGCTGGCGCTGGCCAGCTCGGTCCCTCAGGCCCCTGTAAAAAGGCCTTTTCTCTAGAAGCAGGAAGTCGTGTCCCCTGGCTGTAAACAAGCTCTTCGTTGGCAGCAGAGGCTGCCTGGGGAGAGGGTGGGCGGGCAAGCCCCCTTCACCACTGGCCCTCCTGCCCCTCTGGCTCCCAGCAGGTCCCCTGGCCCTGCCAGCGCCTCCAGGCAGGTAAACCTCTGCCTCCCATCCACCGGGGTCTGGGCAGGCCAGGGCCAGCTGTGCACATCTGGAGCGGCCGCAGGGCTGTAGCCAGCAGTTCCTGAGAGCGGAGGACGTGCTCCCCTGGGGGTGGTGATGGGGGCGGGGGAGGGAGAGGAGAGGCTGGGCCAGTGTGCTGGGGGGACGATGGATGGACAGTCAGGAGGCCTGGCCTCCCAAGGCTGCCCTGGGGACCTTCCCTCGGAGCTGCGCCCACAGCCCACCAGGCGGCCCGAGGCCCCGGCCAGCTTGGAGCCCGGGAGGGGCGGCCGCCTGTTCCATGGGAAACTGCCGGGACTGTTTCTCCACACGCGTGTCCTGAGCTGCTGGCTGACCCCGCTCCCCATTCCCGCCTCTGCTCCTGCCCCGCCTCTCATGGCGCTGGGAGCCGGCCGCCCCTGGGGGCCCGGGAGGCCGGAGTGTTCCCAGCCGCCACGTCGGGGGGCCAGCCCTCCCCTCGTGCGCCGAGTCAGCGGCCACCCTCCCGGAGCCACCTCCGGCCCTCACCCCGGCACTGGGAACGGGGCTCGGGGTCAGCCCAGAAGTAAACACGCCGTGGTGCGCGTGAGGGACGCCCGCGGCCTCCGGCTGGGCCGCCGCTGGCGTGTGCGCCGTCCTCGTGACTGTCCCCCCCCCGCCCCCCACCTGGCCGAGGCCAAGGCCGAGCGGGAGAGCGGAGCCCGGCCTCAGGTGAAAACAGCCCATGTGACCGGTGCCCGCCGGGAGGGACGCCGGAAGCGCCTGCGGCCTCTGGCCCCGGAGCCAGCCTTCCCGCCAGCCTCCGCCCTCCCCGCCCAGGGGCCCAGGGCCCGGGCTCTGAGGAGGCCCCGCTCTGGCTCTGGGTCTGGGCGGGGGATCTGACGGGCTCACAGCTCGCGCAGGCGGCGCAGGGGCCTAGGCTTGCCGGCCTTTCCTACTGCGTCTGTTCCCAGACCTGCCTCCTGGCAGGGCTCCTGCCCAGGTCAGCCCTGGGCCCCGGGGGGGACCGAGACCAGGGAGCTCCCGGCCCACCCTCACCCCTCCTCACGTGGTGGCGTTGGGGACCTGCTGTACCCAGCCCACGTCCTTGTAGGCCGCGGTCACATGGCTGTAGATGAGGCCACGCAGCTTGGCCCAGGCTCTCTGCGTCTCGGGCGGAAAGTCATTGGCAAATTCCTCGGCGATCACCTCCAGAATGACCCCAGAGAGAATCTGAGGGCAGAGGGAGGAAGGGGGCGTCAACACCTGGGCTCCCTGAGGCCCCTCTCAGGCCCCCAGCACCCACTCTCCAGCGAGGAGGTTGCTCATCACACACCAGCCCCTCCATCCTGCTGCCCCTCCCTGTCACAACCCAGCCAGGGGAGGACTGGGTGGTCCAGTGGTCACTCCACTGTCCGGTGAGCCCCGGAGCCTGCAGGTGGCCAGTGGGCCCTGGCGGCCCAGGAGCAGGCGGGGTGGGTGGTGACACACCTTGAAGTACACGGGCTCCACCTTGTGCTTGAGGGCGTGGGCCTTGCCCACCAGGGCGAGCACAGAGGACACCTTCTCGGGGTCGTGCAGGTTCTCCACCACGGAGTTGAGGGCCCCCATGACCCGGCAGGCGTGCTTCCGCAGCTGCGGGCTGCGCTCCATCTCCAGCGGCTCCTCCATGTGCTGGAACTGGCTGAAGTACTGCTTGGCCGACGGGAAGTTCACGAAGAACCTGGGGGGGAGGGTGGCGATGAGGCAGGGACTGCCCCGGGCCCCACCCTGGGGTGGCCAGGACATGGGGGTGCGGGCTGGGAGAGGCAGGGCCCACGCCAATCATTGTTTTCAGCTCCCTGTGAGCTGTCCCTCAAACACAGACGTCCTGTGGCCGAGCTGGCTACATGCGGCCCCCTCCCCCCATCCCGGCCCTTTCCCCAGACTCGGCCTCACCCCCCGGCCTCTGCCTCCTTTCCAAGCCCTGCACTCCCTCCAGGCCCCCAGCACGGCTGAGAGATAAGAGCTTTCCTTCTGGAATCACGGGCCAGTGTGACCTCGGGCCAGTTATTTGACCTTTTTGAGTCTTAGTTTCCTCATCTGTGAAATGGCATCGTGGTCCCTATCTTGTGAGCTGCTGTGAGATGAAATGAGACACTAGAGTCTAGTCATGGGCAAACTACGGCCCGCGGGCGGGATCCGGCCCATTTGAAATGAATAAAACTAAAACTAAAAAAAAAAGACCGTACCCTTTTATGTAATGATGTTTACTTTGAATTTATATCAGTTCACACAAACACTCCATCCATGCTTTTGTTCCGGCCTCCGGTCCAGTTTAAGAACCCATTGTGGCCCTCGAGTCAAAAAGTTTGCCCACCCCTGTCTAGACCCTGTGTGTGGAGTCCTCACCGAGTGGACACGGCGCTCAGGAACCGGCCGTCGGTCGGCTCAAGCTGGAGCACACGATGTGAGCAAAGGAGAGCGGCTGGCTTTCCTTCCTCACCCGGCCTCTCACCTGCAGCGACCGGCAGTCGGTGGACTTAGTTACAGGGCCACGGATTCCACCTGCCTGGCTCGGCCCTGGAATGACTGCGCGCTGTTCATCTCGCCGCTCCAGGAGCCTGTGCTGGAGCCCGCCGTGTGTGTGTGTGTGTGTGTGTGTGTGTGTGTGTGTGTGTGCGCGCGCGCGCGCGCGTGTGTGTGTGTGTGTGTGTGTGTAACGCTCACTTTCATCGCATCACTCTCAGGCTCAGACACCTTCAGCGGCTCCCCACTGTTTACCTCCCTAACCTGCATTCCAGCCTTCTCCCAGATGTCCGCCCACAGACCTGCCCACACCCTTCTCCAGCCTCATGCCGCACGCCCTGCATGCGAGGCATCTCCCTCGGCCCCGCAGCCTCACTGGCCGTTGGCAGAAGTCCTTGGGCGCCTGCCTTCCTCTCCACCCAGTGGCATGCCTTCCCGGGCCCTTTCCTCCCCGAGCGCCCGGGCTGGCCCAGCGCCTGCTGCTTCCCCTCACGGCCATGAGTGGGTTCCCTGCCGCCTTTTCCTGGGTCCCACAGCCCGAGGCAGAGCTGGGGCTCATGCACCCTTGGGCACATCACCCGGCCCGGGCCCTGCCGCCTGCCGCTGGCAGTGGGGCTGGACGCCATGGGAGGTGCCTGCACAGACCCAGTCGGAACGTAAACTTAACCGACGCTCTCTCAGGTTGTTTCCTATTTGGGAGCGTCCCCCTCTGTGAGCCGGGAGCTGATCATTTGCCAAAACAGCCCTTAGGCCAGAGGAGGTCTCAGACCCAAGAGCTAGAAAGATGCAGAAGGGGCCGCTGGTCCTAGCCGTCCTAGCCGGGGAGGCTGCCAATGGTGGGGGTGACAGCACACGGCCTCTGTGGAGACTGGGGGAGCCCCTCTCCGAGGCCAAGCGTGACCTTGGGCAAAGGATTCACTACCTCCTGTCTGCAAAGGTGAGAGGAGTCCCTCCCGCCCATCGCCCATCACTTGCCACTTCCTAGACGTGCTGGGGAGGACAATGGAGGTGATGAGTCTGAAAACAGAGCCTCGAAAGGAAGCACAAATGTAAAATCCCGGCCCTCAGCGGGGGCTGCAGACTCGGGGGGTCTACACTGCAGCCAAAAGAGTGGTTTCTGGTTGCTTGGGGCGTACATGTGCACAGCCTCTCCGCCCGTTCTCTCAGTTAATTCCCACGACTGAGCAGCTATTACACCGTCTTACGGTGAGGAGCTATCCGGAGCATTCACTGAGCACCTACTATGCGCTGTCATTCACCTGCAACACCCTCCTGAGCGCTGATGCCCAAGGTGGCCCCGTGAGGCTGGCGGTCGGCCAGGAGGGGCCTGGCTGTCCCTGCTCTGACACTTTCCCCCTTTGCAGTGGGGGGGAGGGGGGCGGGGGCCCGGGACCCAGGTCAGTCTCCTGCACCAGATGACGGCCCTGAGGGATGACCGCCCAGGAGCCCCTCTTCTGTGCAAGGGGAGTCTAGGGCCACACGCTCTGCTCCTCCGTCCTGGCTTTGCTCCTGGCCCCTAGTGTTTACTCCTGAGCCTGCCCCCACCCACCCATCCAGCCTGAGCTGCCCGGACAAGCCCCAGCAGCCAGCCTTGGGGAGCTTCTCTGCTCCAGAGGCATCTGGGCTCCCCGAAGAGCCTGCCTGAGTGCGGGGGGGTGGGGGGGAGCCCAGTTACAACCCAGAGCCTGGGTGTTCCCTCTGCATCGCCCCTGCAGGGAGGGGTGTTTGGGGGCAGCTCAGACCCCCAGCAGCTCCTCCACTGCCACAAGCACTGTGGTGGGGGTCAAGGGTGCCTCTGCCTCAGCTCAGTGGGGAGGGAGAGGGGGAGAGTGATGGTCCCAGGGCCAGTGTCTCAGGCTCACTGGGACCTGTCCTTGGGGGTGGGGTAGGAGGAGTTGTGACAAACCTGAGGGGCACAGGGTCAGAGGGGCTGCTTTGGGACACTTGAGAAGCTTATCCCAGCCTTGCCCTATCCCCCTATAGCACCCCCACAGGGCCAGGTCCTGGGGAGAGAGCAGGAGGGGAAAGGGAAGGAAGGCTGGTGAGGCTGGGGCTGGGGCTGGGGCTGGGGCTGGGACTGGCAGGGAAGGGCTGGGCCTGTTCTCCAGGCTGGGCCGGCTGGACCCTGCTCAGCCTAGAGGTGGGGTCACGTGAGTGTGCCCTGGGGTTGCGGGCAGGTCAGAGCTCGCCGCTATCCCGGCCTTCTCAGACCAAGTGTGGGCCTGTCTCAGTGCTGAGCGCCCTGGTCAACACCGGCCCCAGCCCAGCCCCAGGCCCCTGTAAGGGTCAGGACCAGTGCACCAGGGGTGCCAAGGGGTGCGGAGAGGGGAAGGAACCTTTCCCAGAGCTCAGAGGCTTCAGGCAGCTCAGCCCTCAGGGTTCAGCTCTTTCCTCTGTGCGCCCCCATTCCTGGAGGGGCTGGGTGAGACCCAGGAGCCAGATCTTGGACAGGCCCTGGGGACTGTCTCATTTCCTCCTGGTGACCCCTGGTGCACCCTAGCATCCTGAGGCGCGCGGGGGGGGGGGGGGGGGGCACTTGCACAGGGCTGAGAGCAGCCCTCCAGGGAGGCAGCTGGTTCTGGCGCGGCTGGGACTCCTCTGCCCTCCTCTGCCCACCTCTGCCCACCATGTGCCTGTGTGGGTGCTCCCACGTGTGGATCTGCACCTCCGAATGCCTGAGGCTTTGGGATCTGAAACCCCCTCTTAGCTTCCCCACCACCCCAGTTCCCACCACCCCCGGGAGCTGCCGAAACAGCTGCCCTCCTCAGGAACCCTCCTCCACCTCCTCGAGAGCTCTTCTTGTTCCTCTTCCTCCCAAATGTGTCCTCACTGGAGTCAGGGCGCATCAGCACAGAGCTGGGGAGGCCCCAGGCTTGGGGGAGGCAGAGGGGGCGAGCGAGGTGGGGAGAGAGGAGCCGGGTCCTGGCCAGGACTGGGAGACGGACGGACGGACGGACGGACCAGCGTGCACTTCAGCATCTTTCCCCAGCGAGGTTCCCATCTTCAGGGGTAAGACGGCCCTGCTCCGTCCCAGATGGCACAGCTCCCCTCTGCCAGGGACAGGGGCTGGGGGGACAGGGGCAGCTCCTCTCTGCCGGCACCCCCAGGGCCCCGCGCTTGTGGGAAGTGAGCACCGATCTGCAGCTGGTCAGTCAGCAGCGTGTGGGGCTTGGGGACACTTTATCTACAGGAATGCTGCAAGCACCGGCATGTATGTGGGTGAAGAACAGTATCCCTGTGTGTGCGGTGGAAGGTGGGGAGGGGGGGCGAGGGTCCCTCCGCCAACCTGGTGCCCTAATGACCCCTGAGCTCAAGACACGTGGCCTCTCCCACCCAGGTGGTGGGTTCAGGGTGCGGCCTGTCTCCTGTGGCTGCTCCCCTTCCCTCCACAGGAACTCCAGGGACAGTGTGGAGGGGGACTTCTGGCTCCCCTGCGCCTCACCTGGGACTCCCTGCAGCCTCCCTGCAGCGCTCCCAGGGCAGGGAAGCAGGGAGGCAGGGAGGCAGGGAGGCCTGCGGGCAGGGGCCTCCGTTCCTTCCGGCCTCTATTCTCTTGCCCTTTGCTCTGTCCTTCCAAGAGGCTTCACATTCTTTTCAAGGGGATGAGCTGGAGAGAGGGCTCTGCTCCTCCTTGTCCCTTCACGGGCTGAGCCTCAGTTTTCCCTTCTCTAAAATGGGGAGCCCCACTGAAGCACCCCTTTGAAGGGTGAGTGAAATGTGTCCGTAGCAGCTCAGCTGGGTGGCTGGTGAGGAGGCCAGGAGCCGGGGGTCAGAGGTGCCCCCCTTCAAGGGGTCCTAGTTCCTGGGGAGCCCCGCGCCCAGAGCCAGGGAGGCTCAATGAGAGCTTTGCCCACCCGAGGCGCCCCGCGCTGCTCGCTCGCCGCCGGCCTGGCCCCAATCGCATCTGGGGAGCTCGGGACCCGGCCGAGCCCGCCCTGCCCGAAGCCTCTGCCGCCCGCCCTCCCCCGGGCCGGCTGGGCCGGGGCGACACCTACCTCACCAGGATGGCCACCCCCACGTCCTCGCAGTTGGCATAGAGCCGGGCCCACGTCGCCTGCACCGCCTTCCTCTCCGCCTCGGAGAGCTCCTCGCTGCGCTCCCGGCGCTCGATCTCCATCTCGCCCGGCACTTTCTCCATGAGCAGCACCGAGCCCAGCCCCGCTTCGCTCGGCGGGCGGCGGGGGGCGCGGGCGCGGGCGCGGGGAGCCGGGGCGGCTGCGTGCGCGGCGGGCGGCGAGGGAGAGCGCGCCGGAGGGAGGGAGGGAGCGTGTCTGCCTGTGCGCGCCGCGCGCGTGTGTGCGTGCGTGTGTGTGTGCGCGCGCGCGCGCGTGTGTGTGTGTGTGTGTGTGTCTGCGCCCTGGGTATATGTGCGGGGGGCGGGGGGCGGGGGACCGCGAGCGGGGGCGGGGATGTGGTCTGATGGGAAAACGTTGCAAAAACAAATCCGCTCCAAACCCCCCACCCCGTGTCCCTGAGCCGATCCCCGCAAGGTGAGGGCTGGGCAGGGGCGGGGAGGGTGCGCGGAGTTTGGCCGCCAGGCGGGGCGGACGTGGGTGTGGCGGCGGCGCTGGGTGGTCCCGGGGCGGGGGCGGGGGGGGGGGGGGGGAGGCGGTCACGCGGCGAAGGCCGGTGGGCCGCCCGGGAGGGCGCGGGGCGGGTGCGGGTCTGAGGGCTCGGCGTCTGCGCTCACGCTGCGGTCGGAGTCGGGACGCGTGAGTGTGTGCACCCTTCTCGCTGCGCGGAACGGACTCAAAGTCACACACCGCCAGGCATTGGCGGCGTGGCCGGCCGCCCAAGGGTGGACGCGGCTCCTCCAGCGGCGCCCTGGTCCGGCCTGAGCTCCCGCTGCTGCTGGCCGCTCCCAGCGCCCCTGACCCGGGCCCAGGAAGCTGAGGACTGGGGTCTCCCTGCCCCAGTGCCTGACCGGAATCCCCCACTTTGGGGATGGGGGACCACTGTCAAACTTGAGCGCCAGAGGCCCTCAGTCTGGCACCCGCCCCCATGTAAACACCATGTTGTCGGAGAGAAGTCCTGGGTGGCCTATATGACACAGGCAGGCGACAGCCAGGCACCGCCCGGCGTCCCGGCCCTGGTGAGCCAAGTGCCAAGAGAGGCAGCAGGGCTGGGCACAGCGGACCTGGGAGGTCAGGGAGTCGTGGGGAGGCCCAGCTGCTGGAGACATTTCAGCCACCAAGGCCCCTGGTAGGGAGGGTCCTGGGGTGGAGGAGACACGTTCTGCCCAGGGAGACTGGACTGCGCCTCTGAGCGCCCCAGGGGTCCCACCCGCCAGCAGCTGGGGCGGCCAGGTCCCACCTCTGACTCCCTCCCCGCGGAAGCCGGAGGCCGGACTGTAGCGTCTCCTCTGCACCATGTGAGGGCATCCATCCGGGGGTGCCCAGTGTTCCCCAAGGCTCTCCGTGATCCCGCCTCCTCACGCCCTCGGGTCCCACTGCTCAAGCACCGCAAGGCTGGCTCTCCTCTCCCACCCTTCAAAGTAGACAGCCCTCCTGCGGCCTCAGGGCAGTTATGGGCAGGGGCCTCTGGGCGCTGCTCCATCTCAGTGGATGGAAGGAAAATCTACCTTCATCTAGGACAGTGGTTCTCAACCTCCCTAATGCCGCGGCCCTTTAATACAGTTCCTCATGTTGTGGTGACCCCCAACCATAACATTATTTTCGTTGCTACTTCATCACTGTAATGTTGCTACTGTTATGAATCGTCATGTAAATATCTGATATGCAGGATGTATTTTCATTGTTACAAATTGAACATAATTAAAGCATAGTGATTAACCACAAATTATGTGTTTTCTGATGGTCTTAGGCGACCCCTGTGAAAGGGTCGTTCGACCGCCAAAGGGGTCGCGACCCACAGGTTGAGAACCACTGATCTAGGGGCCTTGGAGGAGGAGAGGGTGTGGGTTCCGTTTCTTATTATCACTCTCAGATCCAGGTCCCCCTGCCGTGGGGACCCCGCACTCTGTACCCCGGCTAGGCTGACTGAGCATACTGCCCCGGGCCGCCCCCCTAAACTCCTGACAGTTTCCCAGAACCGGTGCGGCGGCCTTCCCAGGGGCTGCCCCAGAAGTTTCACTGGGACGTGGAAAGCTAGTAGAAGAATTACTTATTTTTATCTCAGTCTTTTAAAAAAGATATATTTCTATTGATTTCAGAGAGGAAGGGAAAGGGAGAAAGAAATAGAAACATCAATGACGAGAGGGCATCATTGATCGGCTGCCTCCTGCATGCCCCACATTGGGGTCAAGCCCACGACACGGGCATGTGCCCTGACCAAGAATCGAACTGTGACCTCCTGGTTCATAGGTCAACGCTCAACCACTGAGCCACGCCAACAAGGCTATTTTTACCCCAATCTTTACAAGTTTTACGTGTGTCTGTGGTGCAGGACTGCCGGGGTCCAACCCCAGCAGGTCCAGGGGTTCCCAAAGGCGTAGACGGAGTCGGCAAAGAAGGAAGGACACGGAGACAGCGTTCAGTTGATCAGCAGCCTAGCCAGGATCTCCAGCCAAGTTCTGGTCTGGATCTCCAGCGAGGTTCTGCTTAGGCTCTCCAGCCAGGTTCTGTCCAGGTTCTCCAGCCAAGTTCAGTCACCAGGTTCTAGTCAGGTTCTCTTGCCATGTTCTATAGTCAGGTTCAGTCCAGGATCTTTTGCCATGTTCTCTCGCTAGGTTCTGTCTCTAGGTTCTGTTGCCAGTTTCTGTCCAGGATCTTTTGCCATGTTCTCTCCAGCGAAGTTCTTCTGTCTCTAGGTTCTGTCTTCTAAGTTCTGTCTTCTAAGTTCTGTCTTCTAAGTTCTGTGTCTTGCTGTTTTGTTACATCTGTATTTATACCAGTTGATTCAATCCTATCAATCTCTATTACAAAGGTTAGGGCATTTCTTATCTCCATTCCAGGGAGTAAAGATTATGTAGCTTAAGCATGATTGTTCATAAAGTGATTAATTACCCGCCTGGCACTTAGTTGAGGGGTTTTATTCCCTCCCTAACTTCAGGGGAAAATCCCTACCTGTGGAAACAACCTTTCTCAGAGAGGAGACCTTGGTTAAAACACATAGTGCCAAGAAGGTGAGCAAACATATTAAGAACAGTATGCCATATATGCCAGGTCCTTTGAAACAGCAAGGATGGACCGGCTCCCGGCACAGGACGTGTTTGCACAGTAGCACAGCATATAATCCATAAGCGGATGCATAGATCTATTTCGTGAGCGCACACTGACATCCTGCCTTTACTGAAGAAACGTTGGGGAGCACTGCCCGGAGGGAGGGTGGAACGGAACCACTTAGCCAGCCTTCACTCGCTGGCCTCCTGTCTTTCCGGCTTCATCTACTATTCCTCCCCTCTCCTCCTCCCCTGGTGCGTCCCCAGCGTCTCCTGTGACATCACTGCCCTGCGGCCACTTACCTTCCAGTTGCTGGAATGTCCGATTTCAGGCCCCTGGCAGGGCCTTCGGTCTGAGGCCCACCCTTCCTTCAGCCCAGCTCCTCTTTGAAGCTTCCTGGTGTGACAGCTCCCGGCGTGCCTAAGTCACTCTTTGATGGTGACTGTTGAACTTAGTGCATTGGTCTGGACTACACACCCCTGGAGGGCCAGGCCCACCATCTAGTTCGTGTATAGCCAGAATAGACTGAGGTCTATTTCCCTGGCACGGGAAGGAGGGGGGTGAAGGGGGCCGGGGAGGGGGCAGGGGAGGGGGCCGCGGGGCCCAGGGAGGGTAATCGTCTTCACAAGGTCAGGTCTGCTGACCCCAGTAATCAGCTTGAGCCTCCTAATCCATCACAGCAGGAGCGTAGGACGCACAGCAGTGGCCTGGGAGCCGGCAGGGGCCATCTTGGCCTCCTTGGCAGACTCCGCCTGGGCGGGGATGGGGCAGCCGAGCCATGTGCACCACGCTCCTTCTGCTCAGCACCTTGGCTATGCTCTGGCGCCGACGATTTGCCAACCGGGTCCAACCGTGAGAGACTGACTGGGCCATGGGCTGGGGTGGGGGGAGAAACTCCATGGCCCAGCTGGAAGGGGGCAGGGGCTGCCTGGACCTCCAGGGCAGCGGGGGGGCTCCAGGGGTTTGCAGGGACTCCCCGAGAGGCTCCCCCATCAGAGTAGGGGACTTGGAGCTCTTCAAAGACATTGGCTGCCACCACCTCCGGTCAGTCCCACAGCCCCAGATGGCCAGGCCCTCCGAGGAGCAGGAGAGGGGCCTGGGCTCCGGCCCACAGCTCTTCCCGCCTGCCCTTCCCTCCCACAGAGAGCCCAGCGAAGTAGACGGGGCAGACACCCAGTCCCCTGGCAGGTAAGGCAGAGAGCGTCTGGGGTGGGGGAGGGTGTTGCCAGGGAGGGTGTTGTCCTGTTCCCTGTCCCTGTCCCCGCTTGGGGAGGTACAGGGTGCGCTGGCTGTGTGCTGGCCCCCGGCCCCCTGGTGCCTGGTGGGCAGGCTCAATGCCTGTGTTCTTTCTCCAGCCTGCCCCCTGGGCCAGAGCTGCTCTGCTTTGCTTGTCCGGGAGGGGAGGTGGCCCCGTCCCTTCGTCCCTTTGGTAGGACGCTCAGGGGAATTGGAGAGAGGGATGAGGCCGTTCCGCTGGCTTCCCTGCCTTCCCTTCCCTCCCTCTCCGGCTTCCCGCCCAGCTTCTGCGGCTCCTGCGGCAGGATTCGCGGCCCGGTCCCCAATAGGAGGCACATGACATCATCAGCGCCGAGTGTCATTGGCTGCGCAGCCCCTGCCGGCAGGACGCTGTCTCCAGTGGCCAGAAAGTTAGCTCCGCCCCAGGCAGAAGTCTTGTGGCCGTTACAGGGGGTGAAGTTTAGGGAACTTCGGACTTTGCCTTCCCTGGGTAACCAGTGTCCTTTGATGAGAGGAGCTCCTATGCCCAACAAAACACAGAAAAACCCACAAATGTTTATTAAGAACATTCTAGTGTGGAGACCATCTGCAGAGTGCGTTCTCCCTGCAGAAGCGGTGCCGGCTTCTCTCCCTCCTCGAGGGGCAGAGGGGCAGAGGCCTGGGGCCCGTGGGCTCAGGGCCCCTGGAAGGTGTCTCCTCGGGCTCAGGTGGCTGTGACAGCAGCATGCCTGTCCGCACGCCCAGGCCCCTTTCTGGCTGAGGAACCTGCCTGCCGAGGGCCCCTTAGAGGTGGTGCAGACTGGGAGCCCCGAGGCCCTGTCTTCAAGTCCGATTCCCCAGGTTCCACATGTCAGGAGGCTCACTGCCACGTCCTGGGCATGTGTGCCCCCT